GAGAGAGAGAGAGAGAGAGAGAGAGAGAGAGAGAGAGAGAGAGAGACTAGACGACAAAGTGTTAATTTTGCTGGATCCGTAGAGTTTTGTATATAGAAACGACATTGTACAGCGAGTTCAGTAGACGGTGAGATATGTACATGAGATGAAGTGAGACAGAACTAATCGTCAAACTACGCACGGCGTCTGATGATAACAATATGAAGCGGCAGAACAAATGAACACACGACAGATTAAGGAGAGTATATATTTGTTCGCAGTGACTGCGCGAGTCTGCAATCGGGCACGTGTGTGTGAGTGACGAACGTTTTCTACGACCTCGAGATTTTCTCTCGCGCGGCGAATTAATTGTCGTTATATTGTAATAGCGCGCCACGTTGTTAATTTTGTACCCGAGAGCGAAGTAACGAGATTAACATTTAATCCGAAGAGTGTTCCTTTTTTACTCCTTAATTAGAAGATGTGGCTGTCGTGAGCGGACAAAAGTATAGGGGAAAAAAAGGAATAGAAGTAAAACATAACCGTAAAAGCGAACGAAGAAGCTGAATCTCGAAATAAATGTAGATACGGTTCTTTTAAGCTACTTAAAGCCGTCTCTACGCGTCTCAAAATACTTAAATCAATTTTTAATACACGTACGTGACTGCCAGATACATAATCCGGGTTAAGAGTTAATTTCGCGAGAGTACGATATATGTGAGAACGTCAAAGTTTCACCGATTCGTCAAAGAGAATTCTAACGACGTGCTACCGATGAGAAGCACGTATAATTGTAAAAACCCAATCGCCGCATAAATAACGTACACGAATCGCCGCGGCGTATCATTGGATGGAAGTATTTGAATGAATCGTGAAGCGCTCGAGTATGAATAGGGTTGTCGGGGGTTTTGCGTGGTACACAAGGTTGCCCCAGTTTTCAGGACAAGAAGCACGCCGTATTACGAATTCTCGCGTCTAATCCGATTTGTAGCTTGCAATTACGCTTCAAGAAGAAGAAGAAGGAGGAGGAGGAGGAGGAGGGGGAGAGGAAAAGAAGGAGAAGCAAGAGAAAAGCAAGAAAAAAACGGGAGGAAAAATTGCTTAATAAATGCGACGACCCTTCTCGTCGAGTTTCAAGAGAATTCCCGTGTTTCGAGAAGCGAGACCCTGCGCGAGACCCTAAGCGCATGGAGGAAGATGGCGCGAGACACACGCACCGACACGTGCGCTGACGTGCGCGTCCACCGTCCCCGTGGACGTGGCTCGAAGGCTGTACTTTGTACAATTAGTCCGGGCGCTACAGACCGCGCGACTCGTAACCGGCCGGCTATGCGCTCCGTGTTAACGCTAGTAATAACATTAATGAGTAACTCTTTAACGTCCGCTTCAACGGACGGCACGGGGCACGCGAGTCAGCGAAAAATCCTCGCCACAGGTTGTTGGTTCTGTTAATAGCCCGTGCGGAAGTGCATTCGTTATGCGCCATCCTCGTCGCCCGGGATGGACGTCCGCGCGAATCCGGACGCGTTTTCTAGTCTATCAACTTTATCCCGTCGTGCGCATTCGCGCCTCTTCCCGGCCTTGTTCTCGTCATGAGGCCGAGCGCATATTTACGTTTCTATTGTGGACAATAAAAATTTCAGTTTCGAATATAACGCAGCGTCTCTGGACAGAGGAAGAAACAGGGAGGGGGGGG